GGGGTTAGACCCCTTTTTCTACCGAAATTTCCACACTGTAGTAATTCTGACGTCACCTCTATTCAAATTTCCGTGCGGAAGGCACAATCAAGCAGAGTTCAATCGTTTAAATTGTTAAATTGTTTTAAAGTGGCGTACTTGATTTTTTATCATGTTTTATTCAATTTTTGGGATGAGATTTCTCGTCAATGAGAAGAATTAGAAAAAATATGATATACGAATCGTTAGACTGTAACATATCGATGTGCTGAAAAAAAATATATATAACCAGTGTTTATTGGGGATTTTAGCAGTGTAAAAGGAATACTCTTTAAAGTCTATCCAAGCTTTCGGAAATGTTCATTTCTATCATCAGAAATGATCTTTGGTGAGGTTGGTTACAACGTTGTTCGATATATAAAATTGTAAACGATATTGTGTAAACACACATAAAAAAATTCCAAGTCACATTGTTCACTCATTATTCCAAATTTTTTGGGATTTTCTCTCCTCGTTTCTATAAAATAAAATATGAATATTACCTATTTCAATATACGTGTAGTAAGGACAAATCAAATGATTTGCCCCAAAATGTCACTGCGTTTAAAGAATTTCCCTATCAGAGAGCCTAAAAGAAAAATTCACTAGCTTGTCAGTGACAATTTGTATTGAAAAAAGTTTGGAGAAGAGAAATAAAGGTAAATAGAAAAAATATCAAATTTTCACTTATCTTTGGACGTTTCGGGACCGACTCTGCTCCCGTTTTCAACATGAGAAGAGATTATTTCAATAGCGAAGTCGTATAATATGTCTTGAAGCTTCTCAGTTTTCAATGACAATTGGTGACATTGGCAATCAAATGAGTTACAGGATGTTTTCATTAATTAATCTTGAATTTACCATTTTCATGTTCAGATTTTGGTAATGAATACCATGTTCTGTCTATATCAACTGAACAAGAAGAAGAATGCAAGCAGATTTCTTGATTTTTCTCTTCTGGTTGTTATCATCTTTTCCAATGATTTTAATATTATTCCACTCTGCCATATGTTGTCCGTCTTCAGTAAGGATATGTTCAGCTAGTTTCGATTTAACGATGTTTCTTTTCTTTATATTGTACTTATTCGACTTATTCATGGCTTCAACTCAATCAGTGCTCGACCACTGATTAAAGTGACAACCAGCAAATGACTTGTGAAAGTTCCGCCAAATTATTTAGAATGTTTCGCAGAATTTTTGAAGAACCTAAATTAGTTTTTCACAATATTTTGCACAAAAAATGCAGCGAGAGACGAAGGAATATGATTTTTCGGGTAAATGGTAATCTCACATAGTTTTCATTATGAAATCTTGTAATTTCTTATTTCTTATTGAAATTTATTTTGCCACTTCTGCAATAGAAGCTAATACTGCGAAAGATTGAAAATGTCTACAACACACACGATCATATTTCGTCAGCATGTCAGACCAGTCCTCCCGTTTGATTGCATTAATCCAATCTTCTTGTGTTCTTTTAGAAATTTCATGAGTATTTCTATTAGCTCCTATTGCAAGAGGAATTCCGGTAAGAAATCAGAGAAATTACCAAATTTCAAAATGAAAACTATATGTGAGTGACTATAGTAGGTACTTACTTTTAAATCATAATGTACTAACCGGATTCCTTCGTCTCTCGCTGCATTTTTGTGCATTTTACAACAGCACAATGTGATGATAAGTGCGAATTAATGAATAGCCCTTAGCCTCTAACAGGGTTCCGTGCAATGGATTATAGGCTATAAATACTGACACGCAGGCTACAAAATCCGTGCAAATTACTGCAATGATATCAAGAATCCGTACAAAATCCGTGCATTATTTGTAGAATAAATCGAATGGAAAAAAATGGATGGAGTTATCAATTTTGTGTTGCTGTTTGATGATGTACGTTACCTATGATTTCTGTGAAAAAAATCGACTTTAGATAATCTCAAAATAAGCTTATGCCTTATTGCGCTGGCGACATCGGCGACACCTAGTAAAGGTAGAAAGAAATAAGGTGGATAGCAATAAATTTAACCGTAAGCGTAGACATCTACGAATTGGACTCTTGGAGTTGTCGCACCGTTCGTAAAACGTATATTGCTCACTGTGATCACAATGAATAGTAAGTACGATGCTAAAAATTGCGATTGTTAATATTATATGATGGCTCTCACAAGACTAGTGAATCCGTGCAGAATCCACACAGAATGTCATTACTGCATTTTTACTGCAAGGTGATGCCAATACGTGCAAATTCAGTAATTACGCGCACATTGGCATCACTGGCAATGACCCGCGAAAACGTTGCCAGTTAATTTCAGTAAAATCGGAACGATAAAAATATACTGCGCAGTACTGTTCGGGAATATCGGAACATGCTCTGAATTATCTATTTCCTCTCTAGTAAACGCCAGCGAAGAACCGAAATCCGGCGAATCGTCGGAGAACACCACACAAGCCGGCGCCGGCAGTAACAAACTCCTGATAGGGTTGTTTGTGGCCGTGGTGGTGGTGGGAGGAGCCGCCTTCACTTACAATTACGTCAAGAAGAAGAAGAGCCAAAATAATAGGCGCGCTGCCAATGGAGAAGCGAGGAACGACGCAGAAGAAGGGAAGGAGATGAAGCCGTTGGTGGACAACGTCGGAGAGAAGGTTTCTGTCGAATACAAGGACGAGAAGGAAGAAGCAGTGAAAGCTTGAGTGGTGTTGGGACTCATACGATGTGTATATAAATAGAAGTTTTAAAATAAAGTGTTTTCTATTTTGCGCCTCTAATGTCAGTGAATGCGCATCGAAATAGCTTCGATTACAATATGCAACTTTTATCTTTACAAGGTTCGTATTACAAAACTTTCAGACAAAAGTCGGACATGGGATTTTTCTGTTCTTTGTCGATTATTAATGAATGATATCAAAATATGAGACATCAAAATTTATCAGAATCAAATTTCATTTCGACGTGGTCCCAAATTCCTTTATAATAGGCTGAAACATCATCAATAGGAAATAGGTCAAGAATACGTATCGAAATAGCTTCTATTGCAGTAAGCAACAACTTCAATTTTCAAAAGTTTGGTAACATCAAATTGTCGGCGAACGACAGAAACGGAGTATTCTGTTATGTGTCGACACTAAAAACGAATATTATTGGTGTTGAGGTTCAACATTTTATTATTGTTTCATATTTATTATGTTACTTCTTCGAAGTTACCTCGACATCAGAGCAGTGCGTATCGTTGATTTTTCAATATTTCTATAGAAATAATTGAATTGATCACTCTGTCGAATGAAATAGATATGTCATAAAACATCTAATTTTACATCATCATGTGATTGTATAGTTGTATTGAATCAAACCAGAATATACAGACAGATATATAGAGACAGTATCTCTCGCAAGTATTCCTTCACCCCACAATTGGAATCAAGCAAACTATCGACAATCTCAATCAAGATATTATACAGTCCACTCTCCGATCATTCACGCTCACTCAAGAAGAGGGCACAGTCCCTAACAATTGGTATTATTGAAAAATGATGAACCGATCAGAATGATGAAACTTGAAATTCCTGAATATCCAAACTCATTTTACACTTTGAAGGGCCGCAAGGAAGAGGCCAAGAACATGAAAAATAAGAAGAATATCCTCAATAACCTATGTAAAATGCAACAGACAGAGTGATGTCCTAATTCAATACAATGCTTACCCATTAGGTTTATAGCTTTTTGTTGATGTACATACATAAAAACCAAAATATCTCAACCAAACCTGAGAATTTCACGATAACAGGAGCTTTGTAATGTCACTAATAGGGCAACTGGAAACATCGGCACGAACTTTGACGGAAATCTCACAAAGATTGTTCGACTGTCCAATGGTTATTATCTTTCAGAATACTAATGGTGAAATATTATATTGTGTTTCTTTGTTATCCGAATTTGAGAAAGTTATGTTTTTTCTGTAACGGGAAAAAACTTTGGCATTTCATCTCTGTTGACAGGTAATGAAATGTCACTTTTCATAAATTACTTTTTTCCCGTGGGAAAAAAGTGAGTACTTTTTTCCGGATATATGTATATGACATATATATACACTGTTGATGGCTTTTGTTAGGTTATAGTTCCGAAAAATAAGTCAATAATAACGTCTCCGAGAAAGAACTGCGAGTCCTTTTATCGTCCAATCGACTTCGCGGTTACGTAAATTACTAAACAACCACTAAATTCGCAATTTCTTGAAATCAAATCACAGAATTAGACTGACAGAAGTGACATCAGATATTTGATTACTTGAAAAGAATGATGAAGATGCCTACAACGCAGGTGTCCCTCCTGTTACAACTTCAAATTTCACGTCGGTAATTTCATAATAATGTAATATTTTCTCAATATTGATTCGTCCTTTCTTCTATCACAGAAAAAAATAGTGTATTATACACGGGGCAAATATTAGATTTTAGCTCATGGTTTTTTGTCTCCCTCCGCTACGCAACCTGGAGCTATAATCTACAACTTTTTTCCCTTGTATAATAAATAATGTGTCTTGAGAAATTTTGAGAAAGGAAATGGACTGTTGGTAAAAGAATAATGATATTTCGCGAAATTTTTACATACAGTTATGAAGAGATAGGAGGGTCGCCAACGGAGAAAAGAGGTACGACACAGAAGATGAAGCCGTTGGAGACAAGGTCTGAGAGAAAGTTTCTGACTACATACAAGAACGAGCAGGAAGAAGCAGCGAAAGCTTGAGCTTCTGCACACATAATTTGAGATTGTTTACCTTCAACCCTTCATTTGAATTTGTGTAAGAGATTGCTATTCTTCTGAAAGGGATAATTATTTGAAATCAAGTTCAGAAACCTAAATTCATACTTCAGGTGTTTTGAATGTCATGTCATCATTTCATACTATTTTTATACAGAATTGAAACATAAGAACCCATGTTCATTCCTGATTTTACTTATTTCGTTGAACTTGTAAATATTATGAGACTCACCTCCATGACTAAATAAACATTGTTAGCAGATTCCTTGCAGTCCAGCAGAGCAACTACATTTTCATGGTGGAGTTCAGTCAGTTCCTAAAAACCCAATGGAATAGAGTTACCTACCTACTTTAAAATGATAATCTATACTAATAGTATAAAGAGGAAAGATTTGTTTGTTTATCTGTTTGTTGGTTTGTATTGAATAGGCTCCCAAACTACTGGACCGATTTGAAAAATTATTTCACTATTTGAAGCCGACATTATCATTGATAAACATATGCTGCTTTTTACCATGGGAAAATGCTTTATTCCTAAAGGAAACCGGGTAATAGGACAATGGGTAGTAAAAACAATTATCCTTTCTTACTGATCTTTTCCACATAACCTATGAATGGCTGGACCCATTGGGTTGAAATTTTATATGGGTATTTTGATGGTTTCTTGGATGATTTGAAAATACAATTGGACGCGGTAGGTGACGCTGCTATCGATAAGTCAACTACTAACCGGCTTGATGATTGGGGTGAAATTTTTTATATGTAAAACAAAAATTCACAAGATACTGAGGGAATGAAAATAGGTGTAAGTATACAGACTGATTCACGGTGCATGGCACATTATACGTTTCTGAAGAACACAACGTAGCATTATATTGAAAATTTGGTTTCTTGAAAAATATTCTCAACACTGCGACGTTGAAGTAGTAGTATCTTCGATTTTTTGAATGAGATACCTACCCTATATATTATTCCATTTTCAGATTCTTCCTAAATAGCTGATTTCATCGATCTATTACACTTGGAGTCTAGCGGGAATGATAACAAAGATATAGGGTGTGAAAAATCGAGATTTTTCAATTTCAAGAATTTCTTGTGTGAGAACTATTCATTATTAGTCAAAACGGTTTTCATGTCTCTATCTCAACTTTTCATGTACTATCAATTGATATTTAATTGAAATAGATACAGGGTGGTTGAAAATCTTACTTAGGAACCACCCTGTCCCTATTCCAATTCAATATCAATTGATAGTAACTAAAAAGTTGAAGTTGAAGACAAATTGTGAATAGTTTCAACACAAAAAAAATCTGAAAGTTGAAAAATCTCGATTTTTCACACCCTATATCTCTGTAATTGTCACTGCTAGACCCCAAGTGTTATGGGTCAATGAAGTCAGCTCTTCAGGGTAAATCTGAAAAGAGATTAATATACAGAGTGTCCCATTCAAAAAATCAAAGTTGTTGCTACTTTTCAATATAAGCGGCAACGTCGCAGCGCTGAGAATATTTTTTTAGGTCCATAGAGCACAACTAATTATCCTAGGCACCAAATTTTCAGAATTATCCCAAGTTACGTTCTCCAAAAATGTCTAATATGCCTTCCACCGTGAATCAGCCTGTACAATAGTAGTAGTAGCTATCAGTAAGCGCAAAAATTTAAAAAAAAATAACAAAAAATAGTTACTGTAGATATGCATATAGCTCAGAATGACTGCAACAATTTTTTTTTTGGTACACCAATCCTGGGAAGCTGGGCCAGATAGCTACTTTTAAATTAATTCAAAAACTGGGAAAATACAAATAAAACCATGTGATGGACTTAACCAAAACTGCACAAAAAATAATATCGGTATCTACCATGGAATTGATAAAATATGCATGTTCTTTGATGAGATAGTCTGTTATTTTTTTTTCACAGAGTAGTGAAAATGTTCAGATCCAGTAATATCAGATGACACAGGGTATTGGGTCACCCCTACAACTTCTGCATTCATGAACAAATTTTAATGGATTTTTTGGCATTGATCACATTACAATCCAATATGGCGGACTTCCGGTTTTCCTGGAAATGCCAGCAACTTTGTCTTTTGAAATGGAACACCCTGAATACTTTTACATATTCTAGTTCAACAGGTCAAAACAAGTGCAATCTTTATGGCAAATGTAATTTTTTTGAAAATGTTGAAATTAAAATTGTCATTCTATTTTACCTGGTGGATGAATGAGATATGATCAAAGCTATTCACAATGAGTGGCACATACATACATATTTGTTTCTGAAAAAACATTTTTGTGTCACTCATCAATAAATCATTTAGGTGCATTTTGAACAAGAATTCAAATTTTTCAAATGTAAACCCTATGGCCCACCCATAAGTCTCTCTAGAAAAAAATTGAAGAACAAAATGACATATCACTTTGGTGCAGTAACAAATTATATACATAAAAAATCAACAACTAGTATCATGAATTTCCTTGTAGTTCAAATAATTTTTCAAGTAAGCTGTGAAAAACAACATTTATCTGAATCTTGTCAAAAAGATTGCACTTGTTTTGAGCTGTTGAATTTGAATATGTAGAAATATGAAAATATGAAGTCTGCATTACTGGATTGTAATTCTATCATAACATACTTAACTGTACAAAAATTTCAGAAAAATCCATTTACAAATGAAGAAGTTACAGGGGTAGCCTGATACCCTGTGTCACCTGGTATATAAATATTTCATGTTATATTTTGATTAAGGTTTTTCAGACTAGTTCCAGTATTTTTACTCTTATATTTATCAACAATATTCTCTTGAATATTATTTATTATGACTGATGAAGAGAATAAGTAGCACTTCAAACAACCAATCATACACAGAATAGACTCAGAGTAAAACTTGATGTTGGTTGGGACTAATTTAGAATGATAAAATATATCCGCTGAGGCCTGGAATGGAAGTAACAATTCGAATGACTGTTAGATTGAATTTTATCAGGCATTAGGGCACAAAGCTGTGAGAACTTGAGGGCTATGCTGGTCAAACAGAATAGCCTCAAAATTAAACTATAGATCATTACACTATCATTCCTATTGTATCCCTCAATCAAAACCTCAAAAATCAGAGGGATAAGTTTGAAGTCCAGCTTAACTGTTGCTTTGATATCAGATTTTTTCTAAGTTTTCATTTGAAGTGACCTGTACCTTTGTTTTATAAATGATATAATTCAAAATATGTTTACCTTCAAAATTTTTATCTCTTTCCCAAGCAAATTTTGTGATTTTGCTAAACTTTTCTTTGTGATGCTTTTGATCGCCACAGTGCAAGAGGGGTTCTGAAAATGAACAAAAAATAGATTATTCTCAGCTCTAAAAAAAGTGCATTAGGTACTGTAATACTAACCTGTCTTAATCGTCCTTTGAAAACTACAGCAAATGCACCATGTCCAATCAGGTCCTTACTACTATATTCATAATCTCCCACAATCTCCATATTTCTATTAATCCAGTTCAATATTGTAATATGTACAAATTATGAATATGAAAATGTGAACACTCCTACCTCATCACTTTGTTTATTCTATAATGAAATGATCATTTTCCAAAAGTTTTAGAGACACTGGATTCTACTCATTTTTGGGGAATCAGAATAGCTGAAGCTGAGATAAAAATAAATAATATTATAATTGAAGACGAAGAACCTAAGGTTTAGAGAATTATTACTTCGAATTGGAACAATAAAAATATTGACTATTGAAAACAACACAATGCGACTGTCAGTGTCAATATGTGACATGTGACATTTGCAACAACCACATTTGACTGGCACTTCAAACACAAAGTGCCTAAAATCAGAACGAATACAAGTGATTCGCGGCAGGAGGCTACTGCATGCGGCTGCCGATCAGAATTCTGAATCTTGGACCACCCTGTATCTGTTCCGATTAAATATCAATAAAGAGTGAATCAAAAGTTGAGATCGGGACATGTGAGCCGTTTCGACTGATAATGAATAGTTTCCACACAAAAAAATCCTAAAGTTGAAAATCTCGATTTTGAACACACTATATATCTCTGTAATCAAGTGTGATATATCGATGAAATCAACCCTTCAGGGAGAATCTGAAAATACGATAAATGACAAAGTGTTCCATTTGAAATATCAAGGGTGCTACTACTTTTTAGTAGAAGCGGCAACATTGCATTGTCAAATTTATTCTTAATGAAGAGAGCGTATTCCAAAATATGAGTTTGCACATTTTCATGAATTTTCATAGACTTATTCTCGATATAAAAATAATGTAAGCTCGTCGTGATATACCCGTTTATCTTCGGTGAATCAGCCACAATTAAGCTGCGAATAAAAAATGTTTCGGTGCCCGTCAACAACTATGATTTTGGTGATGTTACGCAATATACTGGAAAACATGATGTACTGTTCGGAGTCTTAGGTCCTAGCGGATCTGGAAAAATCAATGTTATGCTGTCACTCATAGAACATCCTAATGGTTCACGGTTCGAAAATATCTACCTCTACTCTAAAACATTGATTCATCTCAAATATCAATATTTGAGATCTTTGCTTGAACCACTTACTGGAATTGGCTACCACAAATACAGCAATAGAGTGAAAATGTATCCCTTGCAGAAAACATCAAAGTTGATTCCGTGATCATATTCGACAACTTTGCATCTTGTGATCAAAACATCAAGAAATATCATTCTTGTTTTGGACGACATAAACAAACTGACTGTTTTTAAGTTGTCAAACATATTCCGCTGTTCCTAAACAGCTTATTCGCGACAACTCTATTTTTTTTCTTTCTCACAAGACCTGCTCAAGACCTTCCTAATTTGAAAAATCTATGATGACCATGCAAACATTGATATTGATTTCCAGGATTTCAAAGAAGAAGCATCATCCTGTTGGAAAAACAAGTATAATTTTCTCGTATTAGATAAAGACTGCGTGAGATATCATCGGGATGATATGGACGGGGTTCGATACGTTGATACGTATATAAAGATGAATCTTCAAGATTCACTTAGTCATAATGGATCCACGATTAGTGAAACAATTTGTGAAAGCTAGACGAAAATGAAATAAAAAATATATAAAAGTATGAAAGGAGATATTGTAAAATCACAGACAAAACTTGGAAAAGCATATGAACCACTTACTCAACCTCTGAAAGGATTGGTATAAACTTTGGGAATACTCATCAAACAAGAATTTGACATTCCAGAAATTCAGCTGTGGTATTGAAGAACCTCAGTTCAACAAAACTGATATAGAGCCACCGAGTTTAATAGCAAACGGAGAAATCTATGAAACCAGAAATGATGAGGGATAATTGCCAGATAGAATCAGAGAAGATCATCAATTCATCGTAAAGAGGAATTTGTTCTCAGCAAACTCAGATATGGATTTTATTTCACAACAGTCTGGCAGGTTTGACAAGCAACAGAACTAATATTCAATTACGTGCCAGTATCATAAACATATAATTATTCGCATAATTAGATCTTCTCTATGTAATATTATTGATTTTACATACTCAAAACCAGACGACTGTTGGTACCAAATATAATCCAATTTCACAGTGGAAACCCAAATGGATTTCAGTTTCACTTGTCTTGCTAACAAACTTTATAGTTGCTCAGCATCGTGAACGAAAGCTATACCGCATGTATATGAAATTCAATAGATGATACTAAATGGTTATTTTCGTTCATCGTTCATCGTTCATCGTTCATCGTTCATCGTTCATCGTTCATCGTTCATCGTTCATCGTTCATCGTTCATCGTTCATCGTTCATCGTTCATCGTTCATCGTTCATCGTTCATCGTTCATCGTTCATCGTTCATCGTTCATCGTTCATCGTTCATCGTTCATCGTTCATCGTTCATCGTTCATCGTTCATCGTTCATCGTTCATCGTTCATCGTTCATCGTTCATCGTTCATCGTTCATCGTTCATCGTTCATCGTTCATCGTTCATCGTTCATCGTTCATCGTTCATCGTTCATCGTTCATCGTCCATCGTTCATCGTTCATCGTTCATCGTTCATCGTTCATCGTTCATCGTTCATCGTTCATCGTTCATCGTTCATCGTTCATCGTTCATCGTTCATCGTTCATCGTTCATCGTTCATCGTTCATCGTTCATCGTTCATCGTTCATCGTTCATCGTTCAACGTTCATCGTTCATCGTTCATATTTCGAACCAAATTGTGAGTCACTGAAGTTTTTTATGAAAATATTACGAAAAATGCATTGGCTCCAGTGCTCACTTCTAGTGGTATTCAAATAACCACTGCTCAAAACTGCACTTTTAACATTAGTTCATATAATCATTACCACAAATTGAAAATATGTAGGATGCAAGAGTGATAATAACGTGCCCATAAGTTATACTGTATACCTACTTCTTTGTTACTTTCATCAATAAATTATTTAGAAATGACATTTTATTTAAGGGAGACGGAAAAATCATATGTATTACATGGGGGTAAAGTATATTCTTTTGTTCATTTTCCTGCCATTTCACGTATTACTTTTTATAAGCCTACTTTTCGACCTAGAATCAGTAAATTTCTCTCAAAGTTGGATTTCCGAAAATATATTTAGCACACATGACATGAGTACAGTAGTTCAGATACCCACATCGAGGTTTTCACTATTTCTCAATCATAAGGCCCTGCTCATTCAGCTCATAGTTGAACTACTGCTCAGCTTGAAATCAGAATCCATTCAGTCAATCTAGTCAACCCTGGTATGCAGTCTAAGAACAGTCTCTTTTGGTGAAATATATCAAGCTTTCAGTACGAATTATATGTTCCCTACCTCGCAAAGATTATGCTGGAGTAGTAAACTCTAAAACTATAAAATTGTCCAACTATATCTTGGTATTGTTGAATCAGGAATGCCATATGGAAATTACGTATGATACGCCAATGACCTCAATATAACCTACAAAACAACAAATGTCAAGAATCTAGTGATTATCCCCAGAATTGAATGAGGATGAAACTGGATGAAACTATATAACTGTTTCACAAACACTTTAGAGTGAGAGGAGACGAGGAACTATCCGTACCCTTTAACGTCAATTTCCATCAAGGGACTATATTGAAAATTATCTCCAATTCACATAAATTCGTCGGCGAAACCAGAAAAGTGTGTAACTCCACTTTTCACTGAAATCGAAATTTTAACGACATCTGATGGATCAAATTTATATCTATCATTTGACGAAATGGGTATCTCCACAAGATTGAAATTATCTGTGTAAATGGTCTTTCAGAAAACCGTGTAACTCTGTACCGAGAGAATTGTGCTCGTGAAGAGTGATTGGTAGAATATACACTGAAACGGTCATCAATAACTTCTAACGTCTGATATTCTGTGAATATAAGAATCAATAAGGTCTGTGCATGGTGGCATATTGCTTCGTCCTCCTATTTCCATTACTTCTCATTCAAACGCGTTGAATTGTACAGGAGGAGTTCAACAATTTTCCTTGTCTGCCATGTTTTGATGCTCTCCTGCAAAATTTACTTATATGGAGTTACACACTTCTCGAGTTTCACCGACGTAATGTTGAAATTTTATCATAAAAATTCCGAGATTAAATTCTCGAAATTTCGAGATTTTCAAAGATAAATCTCATTCTAGGGGCACCAATACACCGTCGTGAAAAAGATACACTTTTTTCAGTTTTTTCTGAAAAATCTGTTCCTCTCAATTATTGATCCCCAGACCGCTTACTTGGCATGCTGACGATTGTCCTGTGAGCCCATCGTGTGATGCGTGGGGAGCTTGAATATCGGATGTTTCGTTAGGGTACTGTCAGCAGACTCTCGATCTTCAAATTGTCATTCAAGTGTCATTTGTCACTTGTCATTGTCATTGCCTTCGTCTGAGGCCATTGCCATTCTTTGAATTTTGTTGATGTCTTTTTTGTGTGAATAATTTATATTTGATAATAATCATTCTTTTGAACATTTTCATAGTAATTTTTTATTGTTATCAACGTTTCTCTGAATAATCCTCATTTTCAGTTCGATTTCATTAAGGTAGCCATTGAAAATGAAGAGGAAAAAATCAATGCAACCAACAACTTCACCTTGTTCATCCCCAAAATTGGATGTAAATCTCGAATTAGGTAAGCTAGTTTTGTTGTAATACTATTATTTGTTTGCTTATTTTCATAGCAAAACTAACCTGAGAAAAACTTATGAGCAGTTGTGAAGTTTATATCAAGGTTTATTTATACATACACTAGGCTGGGGGTATGCTATCTAGCAAGGGATACAAGTATCTAGGAACTTCTGGATCAAATCACCAAAGTTTTGGTAGGAAAGGGTACATGTGTAATAATATACTTGGAAGGCAATCAATTTCACTATGCCTTTTAGCAATCCTTTAAGGTGGCGGTGTTCTGGAGACTGAATTGGGTCTTCTTTGTTTTGCCTATTTGTTCATTGATTATCTCTGTATTCAACAATTGATTCTTTGAACTGTAATATAATTGATCCTGACACAAATCTGATTGTGATCATATCCATTCAGAAATTCATTTGCTGAGCAATCTCCATGATTTTTCATGTTTTCAGTGATAGAGATGAAAGAGGCGTGAAATGAGCACAAGGAAATCAGATAAACACACCTGATTGATCAATGAAGTATTTCACAGGCATCCCAGCAGAAAAATCATTCAGAAATTCCTTTGCTGGGCTCTAAATTGAATGTTTAATTTTTTCCACTGTAGGATGATT